GTATGCCTCATGGACCTTTTTGTTCCTACTCCTTTTTCAAAGCTCTCATGCCTTTCCTCATACCAAAAGTCAAGACTTGACTGACTTCTTTATTGTTCTACAAAAGCTCAGTAGCTAACTGTATCTTTAATTTTTTGTTAAAGTTTGAAATTTTATCGATTCCTTTACTTCTTATCAATGTTTGAAATCTAAAATCTGACACTCAGATACAAGACCAAGAACAAGACCGGACCTCCTTCCTCTTCCTGACCTATCATCAAATGAAGGACAGAGCAGGCAAAACAAGTCCTCTCCTCTCCCCTCTTTACTTTCCTGTTAAGGCCCAAAATCTGACTGACCTCTTTGTACTAATGCAAACGTCCAGAAGTTGACTGGCTGCTATACTTTCCTCTGAAATTAGACCGACACATTTACTTTCATCAAAAGTCCAGAATCTGACTAGCACCTTTACTTTCTCAGAAGTCCAGAGCCTAACTGGTACATTTATATTTTCTAAAGTCCAGAACCTGACTGACACATCTACATTTTCCAAAGTCCAAAACCTGACTGGCACCTTTACATTTTCCAAAGTCCAAAATCTGACTGGCACCTATACATTTTTCCAAAGTTCAGAACCTGATTGACACCTTTACATTTATCAAAGTTCAGAATCTGACTAGCACTTTTACATATTTCAAAAGTCTAGAATCTGACTAGCACCTTCAGTTTTAAAGTTTCCAAAGTCTAGAATCTGACTGACACCTTTACATTTCTCAAAGTCCAAAATCTGACTAGCACTTTTTACATTTTCACAATGTCTAGAACCTGACTAGTTCTCCTTCACAAAACTTAACTCGTATACAATACTTATGTTACACAAGACCACAGATAAAATTACTTCACTTCTTTACTTATTTCTTACTATAATAATATGAAAAAATTTATTATTCATATTATTTAGTAAAAAAATAATTAAAGAGGGGCAACTGTGAATACCCAATTTTATCGGGTCCCTGTCAAAAATAAATTTCAAAACAAAAAAATAAATATAATAATTTCTTTTTTAAGAGGTTAAGAAAATAGATAAAAAAACTAATTTAAAATTTAAATTCAAATTTTCAATTTTTAAATGTAAAATCAGATTTAGAAATGGTTAAAGTAGTTAGTAGATTTTTAGGAAAATGGATAAAAAAGAAAAAAAATTGATTACTGGTCATTGAAAAATAAGGGAGCCTTTATTAGAATCTAAGGTTTTAGAAAATGTCTATAAATAGGAAGCTTAGGTCTTCCGAGAAGGGGACTTTTAGGTGGACACCTTTTATTTTCTTTACGGAGATACTTTGAGAGCACAAAGAATAAAAAAAGAGATTTCAAGAGAAAAAGCTCAGGAAACAAAGAGAAATAAGAGATTCAAGAGAGAGAGAGCTCGAGAAACAGAGAGAAAGAGGAAAGAGCTAAAAAGAAATCAATTGAGAGTTAAAGTATAGTCTTAGAGATCAATTGGAAAGAACATATCTAGAAGGTTGAAGGAAAAGTTGACTCAAAAACTTTGAGTCATCACAAATGAGTCAACAAAAATATAATCCACTTTTCTTTATCATTCGATAAGAACTACTATTTACTTTTTCTTTTTTTGTTCCTTTTTTTTTTTACTCATAATATCTTTATGTGTTTTTTCTTTTGTCTGTATTAAATTTTTTTTCCTTTTACAAATCCTAATTTATCTAACCTAAAAACTTTTCTTTTTCTTATAAACCTACAAAATTTTTAATTTTCCTTTTAACTCTAAAATTTTTCTTTCTGCAAATCCTGTTTTGTAAGAAAAAAAAGCTTTTTTTTCTATCCCAAAAATCATTCTCTTTGCAAAATTCTGAAGAATCTAATTTTTCTCCAACAACCATTTTTTAATGATAAACCCTCTTTTTTTTTTGTAAACCTAAAAACCCTAATGTTCTTTTAACCCTAAAAGCCCTCAGTTAAACCCTAAAAAATAAAATCCAAATCCATGAAAATTAATTTTTTTTAAACTCCGAGTATTACTTTTTTTGCAAACCCTAAAAATAATATTTATTTTTCTAACCCAAAATCATTCAATTTTTTGCAAGGTCTAAAACAAACTATTTTTTTCAACCCTAACAATTTTACAAATTATAAAAATTTAATTTTTTCAAATCTTAAAAATTCTTTCTTTTCATAAATTCTAAAACCCCTAATTTTTTTGCATATCCTAACCTAAAATAAATTATTTCCTAAATTGAATGAGAGTTACTCATCATTTTTGTTTGCTCTTGTATTTGTTTATTTGTTTTGTATGTCTCTTGTTTGTTTCTTTTTTTGCGTGCAAAAATCTCATATTAAAAGGTATATCAATTTTTCATTATTAAAAAAAATGAGTCTTTTGAATCCATGCAACGGTCAAGTAATTTTGATAGAGTGAAGGATCCACCTTCAACGTTTCTTGGATCGTAAGGGTTTATTGAGTAGTCGTGTGCTAACTTAAACCCTGTGCAGGAGTGGATTTACTTAAAAATGATAATAATAAAGAAAAATCAAGTTTTTCACAAAAAAAGAAAGAAGGAAAATCTTTAAAACTTATTAAAACATAATTTTTGAAAAAGAACTACGTGGTAACTTTGATTTTTCCTTTGCATACGGAAGATACGTAGGACCGGAAACCTGACCTGTCAAGTCTAATTTTTTTAAAAAACTTTTTTCAGGTTCCAATATTGTTAAAGTTTTTTTAAACTAAGATTAATTTTTAGCACATTTTCTTTACAAAATTTAATAAAATTAAATTTTTATTTTATTTAAAAAAATAAAAACAAAAACAAAAAATAAAGTGTTAAGATAAGTTTTTTTACTATATATTTCTTTAATACAAAAAATGAAAAAAAGAATAATATTTTTACAAATAACTCATTCCTTTAATTCAAATAACTTTTATTGTGTTTCCTTATTTTAAAAAATAACATTCAAATCTAAAAAAAAAATTGTAAAAATTAGAAATAAATATAAAAATAATAGTAGTAACAAATTTGAAAATAGTGAAAGAAATATTAATTGATTTCTTTTAAAGTGAAATAAATATTTTTAAAGTTAAAATAAAATTTTGTATAATTAATTAAAAGGTAACCGTTTTAATCAAAGGACGTAGTAGGGTACTAATACCTTCCTTACACGTAAGTGACTCTCGAGCCCAAATCTGGTTTCGAAGATTTTTTTTTTATCAAAAGTTTTTTCCAACGTTTTCTTTAATAAACTTTGGTGACGAATCATTGTCATCGTTGTCCTGTCATAGCCCCAGTTGCGACACATCCTCTTTAGTTTCTTCTTGTGAGAATGTGATTACAAACTCTTCGTCTTTGTAGCTTTTCTTTGTATATATGCATGCATTCATATCTAGTATTTGGGCTTCAAAGTACAAAATCTTGAGTTGTAAGTGATGAAGCTATTATTGGTCTAAGTGCAATCTATTACATAGGTATGACTTGAAGATGATGCGTTGGGTTCTGAACAGCAACGGCTGGTCTTGATGATGTTGTAGTTTACAAGGGATTAGGACAACGACAAAAATTTCAACATGACTTTTCTATCAGTTAATGAGTGCAAGAACTCCAATCCCTCTTCCCTTTCCTTCCCCTTCTTGCAAAGCCACCGACCATCTTGCAGATGCAGCTCCACGTGAATCTTCTCTCTCATTTCCTCCACCAGATCCTCTTTTAACAGAACCTCTACCACCCTTCTCCTCTTTCTTTCTCTCAGAGACTAAAATGCCCAATGAGTTATAATCTTAAGGATTAAAATAAAACAAAAATATATCTTTACCACATACAATATTGTTTTTGCCACATAACCAATTACATGTGTCACTTTAGCATCATTTTGTCACGTAAATAATGACATGTATCACATAAAATGATATGTTAGCATTTCGTTACTGTTCATTAATGGCGTCTGGGTTTAGGGACTTAAATGTCTTATACAAATAAAAATCAGGAACTAACGTCACATTTTTTATTTTTTAGGAACTAAAATGCAAGATGTAAACTCTCTTAGAAAGCAAAATGAGAGTTTAGTCTATTATTAATACATTTTTTTAATATAAGTTTTAATAATAAATTTACTTTATTTTTTGAGTCGGTTAAAAATAAAATAAATTTTATCTTCAAATTTAACATCACACATTAGTTTAGTCTTTAATATAAACAAAAATATTAATTTACTCAATAAATTAATGATACCAATTAATTTAATCTTTAACATTAAAAATTAATTTTAATTATTAATTTTAATAACTATTAATCGATTTAGTCTAATAGCTTGACCTAATTTAATTCTTCGATTGAAGCCACCAATAATATTGATTTTTAACGTTACAAAATAATAAATTTAGTACGTTTGTGTTTTGTCCTCAAGTTTAAAAAGCTCAAGACTAATTTTTGTTCATAGTTTATAGCATCGTTAGCGACATCTTGCTAAATAAATTGACTATACACATAAAAAAAATAAATTTAAAATGTGTTTAATTGAGATTATTTTCGTTGATTATATGAAAAAAAAAACTTTGCCTATTTTTGTTTAGATGATTTTAAAAAATAACCTATTATCTTTGATTGTTGTTTTCATAAGTGAAGTAGCTTATTTAAGATAAGCGAATAATTGAAACTTATAACTAAAAGTTATCAATTTATTTTTTTAATTCATCTAACATATCTAAACGCAAAACTTATTTTACATAATCAATCATTATAATAATAGATTATAAATATAATTAATTGTTGATACAATCTAATTTTGTTAATGAATTCAAACATACACTTAATTTTAACTTTAATAATTATGAATTAATTTAGTTAGAGCACATTAGATAGTTAATTTGATTCTTAATGTTAGTTAGTGTCAAGGTTAAATTTAGAGATAATCTCTTACATCTAGATAAATAATTTTAAAAATAATGTTATATGCATCCATGTATATCAACAAATCCAAAATTAGTAGGGATTCATTGAGGTGCCATTTTGTGGTGCAGTGTTGAGAAAGAATAGAAGAACCCAATCTCGTGTCCTGGATTCGTGGTTGTCACTCGTCAGATCGTGGACAAAAAAATTTAATTGACAATTCCCAATCCCGAATAGAAATTCCCAAAGCACCGAACCCTAACTTTCTCCTCCTGATTGCATCCCTCATCGTCACTGAGCAGTGTTTCAAGGTGCGTGTCTTACGATTTTGTAGCGTTTTCAAAAGAACGTGTGGTTTTCGTCTGTCTCTTTGTTCGTGTTGGAAAATTGATGATTCTAGAATAATTGGGGCACGAGGAAAGAAGTGCAAATTGTGTACGTTCATTTGTGATGCAATTTTCTCCTTTTGTTACTAATTCCTTGGTATTAGGGATTCCTTGGATGTTGTCTTTGCAGTAGAAAAGCTATATTAAATTAAATTATTAAGTTCATCATGTAGAAAATTGATAGGATTTTAATGGGTGTCTATTTAATAAGGGTTGATGCATTTTTTTTTTAATTCTATTTTCGCTTATACATCTCTTTCTCGCTTAAGAGTAATGATTGAAGAATCAAAATTGAAAAGTTTTATTGGAATGTAAAGTGTTTAATGTGACTGATATATCTTTGCTGTGATTTTCACTATAAACTTTTTATTTATTGTTTTCTCAATCACTGCTCTGAGGGCAGTGATTAGCAAAACCATTATTTATTTTTTGGAACTTGAGAGGATATTGTATACCTTGTCTAGATTGATGGTTGTGATTCCTCTAATATCTTAAAGATTAGAGGGCATTTACGTTTTTATTAACTAAACCACTAATTTCACTATATATTAATATAAAATTAATAGTGATGATTGTTCTGCATGTGAGAGTGAGAGGACACTATACCCTCTCAATAATCAGGGAGTACAGTAGATTTTATCTTATTTTTTTAGTTGTACTTCAAAAATAAAAATAAAAACATAAGGGTAATTGAACACGTAGATATTGTTTTAATGTTTTGGCAGGTTCTGGTTCTTGATGAATATGACACCAGTTTGTCCCTTTGTCAAAGCTGCTCGACCTGATGATAATAATGCCTCTAAAAAATCGGGTGAAAATTCTATGAAACATCAGGTAGAGTCTGAGAGTAAGGCGAAGAAAGAGGTTAATGACACAGCTGGTGCTTCTCCAAAGTGCCCATTTGGATATGACTCGCAAACATTTAAGATTGGTCCTCTTAGCTGTATGGTATGCCAGGCACTTCTATTTGATACCAGCAAATGTGTGCCTTGTTCCCATGTTTTCTGCAAGTATGTATTGTGTCCTGACTCCTGGGTTTGTTTCTAGAATCTATATTATTGCATTGCATACACTATTTTTAGCTCATTTCTGATATTCTAATTCTCTGAAATTAGAGCATGCATATCACGCTTTAAGGACTGTCCATTATGTGGGGCTGATATTGAGAAGATTGAGCCTGATGCTAATCTTCAGGGTGTAGTTGATCGCTTTATTGAAGGTCATGCTAGGATCAAAAGGTCTGTTAGTTCAGACACAGATGGAGAAGCAGCAGAGAGTAAACCAATCATATATGAGGATGTGTCTCTGGAAAGAGGTTCTTTCTTGGTACAACAGGCCATGAGGGTAAGTATGGCCTTTTATACATGTTAATGTTTAGTCTTGTATATGAAGGATTAAGTGGAGAAAGATCCTTGAAAATGTTTGTCCTTAATTATCATCATCAACAATCAAAATGGTAATTGGTTCTTGATACATGTTGAGCTGGTGTATATGATTGGATTTTTTGGAAAATATTATTATATGGAAGTGGTAGTGTTGGTAGGGACTCTTGCTCTGCTGAAACTAGTGCTTTTTGTTTGACTAAGTTTTTTTTATAGTTTGTTCTACTACTTGATAATAAGCATTTTGCCGCATGCAATTCAAAAACAGGCATTTCGTGCTCAGAATTTGGAAAGTGCCAAATCAAGACTCAGCCTCTGTGCAGAAGACGTTCGTGATCAGTTAGAAAAAGTGGGCAACACATCAGAGTTATGTTCACAGCTTGGAGCAGTCTTGGGTATGCTTGGTGACTGCTGGTATGTTTTCTTGTTCTCTTTCTTTTTCCCGTATGTACAGTGGTTCATATCAACTGATTAATCATTCTGGTACTCTTATCTTCCTGTTTGTGCATATATCTATCTTTCATTCAATCTTATCATCTCTGGAATCAGGATTGACTGATGTTAGGTATCAGAAAAATATAAGGAAATGAATGGTAAATTTCACTGTATTATTAATGTATGGATCCTGGCTAACACATCCAGGTCCTGAATAGCAGTGTTTATGGGTAAAGAAGAATAGGAAAAATGATAACTATAGGCTATTCAAGAGTGCCTATGCTCTCCTAGGTTCCAGCCTAGTCTCAACCTGCCTCCAATTTTCCCTACTCACCCCATATAACCCCTCTCAGCAACAACCATCACACACACCTTACTGACCACCCCCTCCCCCATGCTTCCTCAGCAGGTGGTTATGCCATCTCTCTCTCTCTTGGTTTTGATTTGGTGCATCAAACCTCCTACTACTCACATAATTTTTTTAGATATTGGGCTTTGGATATAGGCCTTTTACAACTACTATGGTAGGAAGCAGTTCCTAATTACTTCCCTCTAGTTTTTGTGCTACCTTCAGCCTCCATCATGATTCTAGGTTTTTGAAACTTGTCCTAAAACTTACTGCTATATGGTTGAAAAATTGTATTTTCAAATTATAGGATGCTTTAATACATTCAGAGAAAACTTTTTGCCTTTGCCTCATTTATGTGTAGTGCTCCAATTTATCATTTCATGGTGCTAAGCAAATTGTTACTTTCTTCTGGGCTTTGGCCTTTTGTTTTCTTTCCTGAAAATCATATTTTCTGGTCATATTTTTACTTGTTTCTTCTCTAATAATTTTTCTTATTGTATCACAAAATGTACAAAAGAATATCGTTATATGACATGTTTAATGGAGGTATATTGTGATCTATGTTCTGTTAACATCATTTTTCTGCAGCCGAGCAATGGGTGATGCCAGTTCTGCGGTTGCATATTTTGAAGAAAGTGTTCAATTTCTGTCAAAATTGCCCAAAGATGATATGGAGGTTATTTCATTGGAACCTTGCTCTTTAGTGCTCCAGTAAAAAATCATAAATCTCAAAATCATGATTCTTTTGTTGTCAATTTATTTCTTGAACTTTGTTGTCCTACAGATTACACACACACTTTCTGTTTCACTTAACAAAATTGGAGATCTTAAATATTACGATGGGGACCTTCAAGCTGCAAGATCTTACTATTTTAAATCTTTGAATGTTCGTCGTGATGTTGTCAAGGACAATTCAAATGTTCCTTCCCAGGTTAGTTACTATTATGTATATATAATTTATTTGAATTTAGCAAAATTGTTATCTGACTTGCCATATTCTACTATCTGTATTTAATTTAATATTTTATTTACTTGCCATATATTGCATGAATGTAATTAATACCCATTGTATAAGTTAATTGATGATTTGATGTGGTAAATTGTTTTTTATAGTTGTGATTGATTTAGACATCACACCTGATGTTGTCAAGCATTAAGCATAGATTTAAAAGCTCAACCACATATAGAAAAGCCTGAATTATAGAAGTCTAATGCATCACAATCCCATTTGGGTCCATGAAACCCTCACTACGAAGGTTTAAAAATCCATGACCAGAGAACAAGAAACAAGAGAAGAAAGCTCCTTAAACATCTTCAAGAAACCTAAGATGAATCCAGAGAAATCCTCTTAGAACCTTGATTCTTCAAGCCCTAGCCCTTTTGTTAGCTCTATTTTTCCTTTCTCTTTGGTCATTGCAGAAAAATGTATATTTCTAGCACAGACTTTGTGTAGATATGCTGTGTAGGGTGCCTAGGCACTGGAAATTTAGTGCCTAGGTATTATGGGCAGAAAACAAATTTCTGACATATAGGCTTGAATGCCTAGGTTAAAAAACTGAGTGGCTGAGTGCATTATAAGCAAAATTTAATTTATGACACTGAGTGCCTAGTGCTCAAGTTGGGTACATTGATTTTACTTTCAGAAATTCTATCCTTTAAGTTTTTTAACAAGCTTCCAAAATCATTTATAATCTCAAATCTCAAGTAATATGATGAATTTCCTAGCCACAACCAAAGAGCAGAAATGTGGATCTTATTTTTTAATTATATACGAAGATAAGAAAAGAAAAACAACTAAAACAGTTCCAAACTACTGCCATTACTCTTAACTGCACGTGCTCATTCCAATACAATGCCTTCAAAGAAAATCAAGGAACTTACTGTACATAGAATCAACTGAATCATGCAAGAAATAAGTATAAATTATTTTGATAATTAACTGGTCAATTTAATTCAATATCAGATGGCCCATGCAAATTGTGCCACTGAAGAATGTGTCCTTTTGCTAGGAGGCATGGCTCATATTGAAATTAACCTTTCTTATTGTTTCTGATTATCTAGGTCCTAGATGTTGCTGTTTCTCTTGCAAAAGTTGCAGATGTGGACAGAAATCTAGGGGATGAAAAGGTGGCTACTGATGGATTTCAAGAAGCCATAGACTTACTGGAATCACTAACGTTGAAATCTGAAGCCAGTGCGCTTGAGCAACGGGTAATGTGTCATAATGATATATATGTATTCAAAGAAAGAAGTACTATATATTCAGATGGTGGAGCAAGTGAGAGGACCATTTTTATGAATGAAAGTAGCAAATGTTGACCAACAACCATACATAATCAAGATTAAAGTTACTTTAAAAATACATGATCACTTAGAAAAGTTACATGACTTTTATGTTTTAATTTTTGACTATTTGTGTGTGTGTGTGTGAGAGAGAGAGAGAGAGAGATTTTTGCTTTATGCTGCATTTCCTTATTACATCCTGGAATTAATTTGAATTTCAATCCTTCTATAGCGGCAATCAGTCCTAGACTTCCTTAGAAGCCAACTGCTAGATAAACAAGAACAAGTTGTGCCAACAGTCTGAGATAGGTACTCCACATGAAGAAAGGAAACATGAATTCAGATGCAATAAACATTTCTGTATGCCACGGGACAAGTTTGTAAAATAAGCTCAGCTTAACAGAGGCACTACTAATAGAGGAAGAGGAGCTTTCATAGTAACGGGTATTTCATGCATTTCTGGCACTGCAGTACCTGCTTTTGCCTGAGATTCTACAGCAGATCCTCTTTGCATTTTCTTGTACACCACTCATCTTTTTTTGTGTATCCACCTTTTTCATGTTACCTTCTTGGTGCATAATGACAATTGTGCTAGGGTTTTCCTTGCATTATTGTAACTATATATTCTCTAATAAACTAGAAACAGAGTAACATGTATAGGTTGTGTAGTTGCACTTGAACTTGATGAATACTTTATATACTCTGAAACCGTTCCAGTTAGCGTTATTAATACATATCCCACTTTTTCTTCTTTTTGATCGCAAAGGGCCTTGCAAAATTTGCAGTATATTTCCCAGAGACGTTTACGTATCGTTTTATATTAGAATAATTGTTCTAAACAAATCACCACAAACTTGGAAGAGTAAAATCACAATTTGCTTTTGAAAGCTACACCATATTTACATTTGATCATTGGTGTTATGTATAAGTCTAATTTAATTTCTAAATTTGTCAACTTGTATGCAGTTTCATCCGTGCATCAATGATCTTATAGTATCAGGCTTGAATTTGCTAATGTGGCCCGTGAACTATGCAAGTGTACGTACGTACGTATAAGGGTAACGTGAACACCTACTTATGGCATGTTCTGTAGATTTGGTCCCTTTAAAAGTACTGGTATATAACAATTTGCCCTAAATTTGGCAATTTCTTTTATCTATTACTGTTAATCAAGTCTAATAGAATTGTACAATTATTATTCTTATGTAATTTTAACATCAGTTTTTTATAATGATAATCTTATATTGCATATAAATAAATCAATATAGAAATTACTTTTTTTTTTTTGCAATAAGGGTTGAAATATTACCTAAATTAGAAGATTATCCAAGAATGATATATTAGACAAATCTAATAGAAGAAAACAATCATAACCAAAATGTGTGGTGTCTAATAAATACAAACCTTAATCAAATTGATGGGAAAAGCGAGCCAACTAATCTCCAACCTGGTTTCCTTCCCTAGAGCAACGAGATGCATCGTCTTTCATTGGGAAAGAATGGATCACTCTAACTATAGATGACCGTGGGTGAGACACGGTACATCCCTTTGTCATACGATAAATAGCTGATTTGAAGTAACGCTCGATCCATAGCTTGGACAGTTTTTTATCCTAAGCAATTAACTAAGTTGATTGAATCTTCTATAGCTGGGGGGGGGGGGGGGTTGATATTGGTACATGGTCCTATTTCGAGGTAATGTCACTAGTGAAACCTATTAGGATGGAGAAGGGTAGTTTTGAAGAGCGGTTATTGGGACAGTAATGCCATTGAGATGGCAACTTATGCAGTTGAAAATAACTACGAAGTGGATTTGTGTGTAGAATATATGGTGCTGCTATATTTGAGGAATTGCCAGCTACAGAGGAGCTAAGAAGTTAAAAAATGGAGAGTAGGGACTTGAGAAAGATAGAGAGGATAAAAGTATTGAAATAGAAAATGAAGTTAGTGATCCAATAGCAAGAGACTTGGCAAAAAAAGAAAACATTATTAAAGAATGTAACTATACTTAATGATAAAAATAGTGAAAGTAGGGCGATGAAGTTACATAACATCCGATTTAGATTATGTGCATACAATAGAATCTACTTAGTAATTATCCTGGTGATGAATTTGGGTTGTTTATGATTCGGATGTTTCAAACTTGAGGTATTGAACAAGCGTAGGCTTCCAAAATTTACGAAAGAACAAATTTAGGTATTTACGAAGGAACAAATTTAGGTATGAAGTTTGTATCTTTGCAGATATTCGAATTTTTTTTCTCATTTATATTATAAAATTCATTTATATTATAAAAATTATACCAGAACTTGAGAAGTTCTTCTCTAAGAATTTGCCTAAGAACTTGAATGATAGATGAAACTTCATCCTCATTTTTGTTGACAATAACAAAAAGATTATCATTCACCATTCTTGAAAGAAGAAGATCATGAATATGATTTTGTAATCTGTAAATCAATTTGATGATAATGAGTTGATTTTGTAATATTTTGTGTCAAATTATAGGCACATAATCAATATATAAGAGCGGAAATGCAGAGACAAAATTACAACTATGTTTTAATATATTATAATTTGCTAGTCCTTATGACTACTGTTCAATTTTGCTAGCATGTTTAATTCAGTGGATACCATTGATGCAAGATCGTTTGCGTTTAGAAAGTTTGAAAGGGGAGGGTGAAAATTAGCATTAAAATCAAATAAGTTTTGCATATTCCTTTTCATTTTCCATTGCCAACAAACATCAAAACAAAGAGGTGCACGAAATAACTGCTTGCAGATAGAAAATAGCAAACACTGTTCCCTGTTTTTTGGTCAAAAAACACTGTTCCGTATAACAATTGAAATTATCATGATTTTAATTTCTTCATAGATAACTAAAACAAGCTACTCCTTTTAATCTCTTCACCTTTTGAAACTAAATGTAATGAATTGAAAAATAAATAAAATAAAATAAAATAAAAATATATATATATATATATATATACACACACACACCCCTGTTCAAAGTGAAATAATCATAAAAAAAAGGTCAAGCATTGCATTCAATTTCTTGCTGCAAAACTACCTACAAAAGTTGGGGAACTCCGTTTCCTCACTTTGAAAATATAAAGTTCGTCATAATCTTCATTGTTGAACCTTAAGTATTTATAAATTATATTGCCCGTACTATTCAGCTTGTGCGTTAGATGTTATGAACAAATCGTTTGAAGAGAAAATTATTCAATTAATATGCATATATCTGTTCTGCAACATGGGGTATGACCAGAGTGTCCAATTCCGATCAGACTTTTGATGATCCCATAGCCATTGAAGCATGTTCAGCAAAGAACAATGGCCCTCATCCTAAAACCATAGTGAATATAGTTCCAGGGATAGTTACAATTGTAGCTTCTAATACTGATAGGACCTTCCAATCAACTATTGTCCTTGGAAATGGGAAACTTTTCCAGATAGGTTGCTTGATCACTGCTACCAAGCCAAAAAGTAATGAAGTAAATTTCTTAGCATGATTTTGAATGGTAACAATGCAAAAAGCTAGTTAGACAACCGCCCTTGTTCTATGTGCAAACAAGATGTGAAATGATATAGGCTCAGTAACACACAAAACCGGTAACAGTAACATGCATGGTGATTGTCTAAACAGATCTTGTATCTAGGGGGAAAATAGTAAGAAGAAATAGAGTTACATATAGAGCAATTATTTATTTTATGGTAATGATTATTGGAAAAGGTTCAAAATTAATAATATAGGTAATATGCAAAATCTATCATGCCTCCTAGCTATGAACCCGTTCCATCAATTCTTCCAACAGTAGAAGTTACTAAGCACAGGCCTTTGCCAATTGTTGCATCCTTCTTGCCTAGAGGCCCTACAGCTAAGACAGACGATTATATAATCATCATCAGGACAATTCACTCAGCTTCTTTCACAATAACTAAGGAAAATCTGTCGTCCAGCCAGACATCATTTCTCCAAGCATTGATATTTTAGCTTCCTATGAAGAGGTGTTCCTATTGGGAGAAAACCATCCTTGATTGGCATAAAATCATACATTTTTGTCAAATGGTAGCTTCTACCAAAGTAAAAACAGCCAGATTTATTTCAGCAGTTTTAGGCAAAAGTAAAGTGATAAGCAGGTCCTAAATTTCCTTCAAGTCTTAAAACTCCATATAGTTTCTCTTATTTGTAGAGTAAAGTAAATCTGGCAATTTTGTAACTAAAAAAACATTTCCTAAACCAAATAGAATGAAGTAAGATGGACATTTTTCTCTCTTCTCATTTTCTCTTCAATTCAAATTTTAAAATTTTTCTCTCTCCTCCTTTCTTGTTTCCTTTAAACAAAACGAGGGTTAGAGTATGACAAGCATAACACATTCATCACCACTACCACTACAATTACATTCCACTAAGGATCAAAATAAAGGTCTGTCAGTAGTATAGTAACTCACCATGCCCTTCAATTCTCATCAACATAGAACACTCAACAACAGAAATACCATTCAAATTAATTATCAACCATCATCGTCATCGTCGCTCTCATCACTAAAGTACCCTGCTTTCTTCCCTTTCTTCTTCTTCTTCGTGGCACCCACAGCTTCCACATCATAGTTCCTCGCCAACAGCCTCTCATCCGCACCATCATCCACAACAGAGGCCCAATTATCATCCTCAAACCGCTCTCCCCCGCCACCATCACCGCCACCTTCAGATTCACCGCCTTCGTCGTCGCCGTTGTCGCGGCCGAGCCCTCTACGGCCACGCTTGGGCTGGGGGCGCTGGCGTGGGCCCAACTGATTCCTGGGACAGTCGTAGGAGAGGTGGCCGGAGGTGCCGCACTCGAAGCACTTGCCGGTGTCGCGATACACGCGCTTGCGGATGAATTCGGGGGCGCGTCCGTTGTCGGCGGCGATGGAGGCGGTGAGGGTGCGGCCGTTGAGGACCTTGCGGTGCATCTGAGAGGCGGCGGTGCGGGCGTCGTGGCGGGAAACGAACTGGATGAAGGCGACGCCGCGGCTAAGGCGCGTGTGGCGGTCTTTGAGGACTGTGACACGCGCGATGCGGCCGAAGGTGGAGAAGAGAGTGTGGAGATCGGAGTTTGTAAGGGAGTAGTCGATGTTGGATACGTACAACGTTGATTTGGAGGGAGCTAAGGCTTGTGATTGTGACTGTGATCCCTTGTTTTGGTTCCCTTTCCCTTTGGATTGGGTTTGGTTTGGGTTGGATGTTGATGCACTGCTGAACCGATAGTAGAATACGTCGTCGTCTTCGCTGTCGCTCCCTTTTTTCTCTTTCTCTTTCTCTTTCTTTCTGCCCATTGCTCTCTTCTCTTCTCTTCTCTTCTCCCTCTTTCCACTCCCAGCTGTGTTCTCTTCCTTTTTGTCATCAGCTTTTTATAGGACTTACTTATTTTCTTTTACGATTTTATTTTTTTAATTTTAATTTCTTAGGAATAATTTTTTAAATATTTCCATTTATTTTTTTATTTTAAATTTTATTTAAAAATTAATAGAAATATATGTTTTATTTATTTAAAATAAATAAGATATATATACACTATTTAAATACAAACTAAAATGAATATAATATAACAAAAATTTTAATTTAAAGTGAAAAAATTAAAAAAACTAAAATCACACCTTAAAAAATAGGAATATAACTGTAATTAAATTAATATTTTTAGTTGTTATCCTTGAGCGATTCCTTTATTTTAATCTTTTTAAATAATATTTTTTAATTTTAGTTTTTTATTTCAATTTATTATTTTTTTAGTCATTTAATTAAAGTGATTTAATTAAAAATTGATATTTAATAGTATTTAAGTGAACTAAATTAATAATAAGAACTAAATACAAAAATATAGACTAAAAAATAAGGATTAAATAAAAATAAATTAATTGAAAGGACTAAAATTAAAAATTTGTTGAAAGGTAAAACTAAAAATATATTTAAATATTAATATTTTGTAATACATTTTTAACACATAATTAAATTTTTTTATTATTTAAATTTTATTAAAATTTTAAAAATATAAAATTATTTTTTAATTTTAATTTTTTATAACTAAAAACTATGCTATTAGCATTTCTTTTGTCTTTAAATATTTTTTTAGTGTCTTACATAATAGATATATCAATTTTAAAAATGTTAAGTTAATACATTGCAATTTGAGTGCAGATATTTAAACATTATTAATATTATTTATTAATTAAAACTAAAAATTTACTTTAAAAATAATAATACTCAGCAAACTATTTTTACTTCTCTTTATCTCTGCCACTACTTCAAAGTATATTCTTCAACCATAATAATAAGTTTTTGATAATTCTCTACCATCATTTCTATTTCTCCCAAATAACTCTCTTCAACAACTTGGCACTATATATTATATAATACATGTTGTAAGGTTAAAAAAATAAATGAAATGTCAACCTAAATAGCAAATAAAAGAAAGGACCAGCGAAAGAATGTGAAAAAAAAGTGTGAAAGTTAAAATTTAAATAGAGTCACTCTTTATCACATGTTCTGATATTTAAATTTTAAAATTTAACGGTAATTTAAAATTATCACTAAATAATCAATGCAAATTTAGTTTTATGTCGCCAATTTTAGTGTTAGTTTATAATTGTTAAAAAATTAAAAAATAAATAAAATTATCATTAATTAAGAAATTTAATTATTACTAATAAATAATTTTGTTGGCACGTGTGGTTTAGACACACTTAACAATTAAAACAATTGTTTTGTAATAGTTTTTGTATATTTCTTTTCATAACATGATTTTAAAACAATTATGATAATATATAAGCTACTAAATTGTATTCTTTAAAAAAATCATTTTTTCTCTTTTTTTAAAAATTAATTAGCTTTTCATAAATAAATTTTACTCATAAAATAGTTATTTATTAATATTTTTTTATCTATTATTAGTGTTAAGTAACTTTTATTTTTTCATCTATGATTAATAGAATCGCTTTAAATTAAATCTGAGTAGAGGCTCATTGTCTCCTTCCAAACAGTGCCAATGGTTAATACTTGAAAATTAAGGGTGACATAAGTTGTCAAGGTTCTTATGTACATCTATCTTTTACATATTAACTTATCATCACTAGACTTAATTTAACTATAAATTTTGTATTAAATGTAGAGATGTTATTTGTGAAAATTTGTTTTCATGACTTTAAACATTTTCATAGCATAATTTCAAATTTTAAAAATATTTTTTATTAATTACGTTTTAATATTTTCACTTATATATATATATATATATATATATATAAGTGAAAAGATTAAAACATAATTACTACTACGTTAATCATATAAAATAATTACTTCACTTGCTTTAATATTATTTCTTACATAATTTTTATAAATCTTAAACAATTTTTCCATGTATAACAATAATATTATTATTATTGTAATTTTTTTACCATAACAGTAATATTTATTAAAACATAAAAAATATATATACTAATCTTATCAGATAAAAAAAACCTGTAACTATAGTAAGTAGTTTTTGTAACGGTTGATATTTGAAAATAAAAAAAGTAACTTTTATTTACTGTTCTAAAAAATTAAATAATCTAAATTTATTATTTTTACTAAAAATATTCTTACTATCATAGAAATAAATCACACTTGTGTTCTTTTATTTCCATTTGTAATAACAAAAAGTTGAGTGCAAAATTATGCATAAAAACCTTCTTTGTGACAAAAGAAATTGGCAGGGTTACACTTGAAAATGAGAGCACAAACTTAGAAGAGAAAGTTGTTTCATGCTTCTTTATGTCACTTTTTTTAATTCATGAAACTTCATTCTGGAGTGGCGTGTGCTAATTAGCTAATTCGTTATGCTATTTCTATATGACTATGGCACACGTGTAACATACATTCAAAGTACAAGCCTTCACTACATGCATATGAGAACCTCATCTTCAGCCATTCTATACTTCTTATCTAGAACACACAAAAATAATAATATTACAAAAGAACAATGGATATAGGAAATTAAATAATTAATTTTAGCTAAGGCATGCAACTTAAGAGTATTTCGCCACCATAAATAAATTACTCAGTACAAATGATCTAACAATTAATATTTTTTAAGATATAACAACCTAACACTGCACTAAAAAAAATATACAAACAACTTTCAAATACTTAAGGAAATAATAATAATGATAAAATAAAATTAATAACTTTGTCCTAATTTTTTTCTAGTTTTGGAAAAGCTACTTGTTGCTAATTTTTTAAGAATGCATGTACAAAATATTTGCATATAGTAAAAATTAAGTGTGATGAAGCTGAATTGTGACAAGACTTTTTTGAAAAGTCATAATCAAGCAGGGTGTGGAGATATTAAGAGGGATAATCAATGTAAGTTTTTAGTTGGTTTTGCTATGCCGTTGAAGTTATTATCGGTCTTGTTCTCTAAATTTATGGGAATCAAGTAAGGTCTCATGCTAGCTGCTAAGGAAGGATATGGTTTGTTCGTGGTGAAATCTGATAGTGCTATGCAATAGAAGCCTTACGTAGGAGCACATGCTTTTCATGACATCCATGCATTGGTACTTCAAATCTATTGGTGCTTTAATAGATTTTTTTAAGTATGTATAGATGATAAATTTTAAATAATAATAATATAACAATCTCTCACATTATTTATTTAAAACTGAAAATATTTTCAAGTGATTAAAAAAATTATTGCATAAGTAATATTGTCCTTTAAACATTGAACTAGTATGCAAAGAAAATTAATTATGACCCACTAGACTATTGGTGAGATTAAAATTTCTATAAACCTCATTATAGTTGTGAATCAATAATTTTATCACTTACATTGACTTTTTATCCAAAGTTGTTCAACGTGAAATAGAGCTTTTTGGCCTTATACTTTTACCTAAATTTTACGAGTGCTTTAAGGAGTTTGCCTAATCTCTCATATCTTGCCTCACCTCAACACTTTATAGGTAAATCTATCAAATGTACACTACAAGTCAAGTGTATCACTCATTTTGAGATATAGATTCATTAAAAGTATATATTCATCCTCTAATGTTGTAACACATTATTCTATCCTACACTATAGAGATGGCTTTGTGATGAGAATCAAGGAAGGCCCATTAAAGACAAAGACTTGAAGGCATTGGAAGGACTTCAAGGGCCAATGATAAAGGCAAGGGCAAAAAGAATAAATGGAGACTTAGAAAAAATTGTTGTTGTCTTATTTAAAAGGGAGCTCAATTTAGACTTAGAAGTTAGAAAAGCTCAAGATGGTCAATTACATATGTTTAGAAGATTTGAATTCTAACGAATTTTATTAGGATTTAATTATTATGTTTAGTTTATTTATTTTAATATTAGTCATTACTTATTTTGAGTTTTTATTTAGTTTATTTGAATTTAGGCTTGTTGGTACAAGAAGCCCATTAGAGTTTGCGTTAGTATTAGTTTACAAGCATTAAGCATATATAAGCTCTTGTAGACACACTTTTAATTAGTTTTGAATATAATTTGAGATTGAACACTCTTGTGAGAGCGTGTGACTCTAAGTTCTTGAGTAAGCCAATTTTTTTTTATCTTATCAAGAGGCCAAGACTCTTGTGCCGATCGTTCCTTGACTTATCAATCTTGCGATTGTGGCACCATTTTCCATCTCTATTTTATTTTCACTTTTTATTAATTTTCTTCTTATTTCATTCCTATTTGTGCCCTAATAATTTTGTTTTTATTGTGTGAAATTCAATTCATGATCGTTTAATTCGGCGACACGGTTTGTGGTTGTCATTAATTGGTATCAAGAACTTTGGTTAGAATTAGATTGAAAGGTATTGTTCATCGCACACTATTCACGTAAAGCTCATTGAAAAAAAAAGAAGAAAAAGAGAGAAAAAAATATATACTACAAAAAAATATTGCAACATACAAAAGTGTGTTTTTGATGTATTTCTTCTAATCTTCCGTTTATTTTGCTTGATTCCATACCAAAAATAAAAAAAATAGTTGTTATTTAACGTTACATAATCTATTGTCTTGTTGGCTTCCTTAGTTTTGTCTTAGAGTTTTCTTTTGTTGGCTTCACTTGTTTCTCGTTGATTGATTGTCTCTTGGTTTTGGTTGATTGTGTAGATTAGAGGTTGACTTTCTTAAGAACTCTTGAGATCACTTGAGATGGAAAAAGGCAAGAGAGAAATCCTTACACAATAGCCAATTTAGAGTGAAACACGAGTGAATATCTACTGAGTGAAAACACTTAGCAAGTGGAGAGAACCTTTTCTTTTTGCATTAACTTTTATTGTTTTATAGAATGTCTCAAGAAGAAGGATCAAGTAGACAGAGCACTCCTGCCTCGCAAATTGAA